TATAATGGGAATATCAGTTCCTTGGATTTTAGTTATGTAGCTTATTTACTCTATGTTGTTAGGCAACTTATGCTTTAAATCCATTCACTTTTCTATAACTACATGGAGGACAGTACACCTATATAATAAGGTAATAGTGAAGGTTAAATTGCACTATGTAAGCAAGAGTCATTTCATAAAGGACTATTGTTTGCTTTTCATATAGACAGCCAATTTTAATTAGCAACTATCTTTGATTAAAATTTATAATTATCAGATATCAAATTGCAACATTTAATCTGTACCATGAAGAGCAATAGAATGCTAAAATAAATTACATATAACATTTTTAAATTAATGTATTAATTTGTATAAAATATTTGGTAGTCCACTATCTTTTTATATATATCTTTATTTTATTTTTATGTGGCGCTGATGATTGAATCCAATGCCTCACGCATGCCAGGTGAGCATGCTACTACTTGAGCCGTATCCCCAGCCCTGGCCATTTCAGATCATGTAGAAATCAAATTTTATATATAAATTACCTCTTTCAATTTCAGTTCTTCATGTCACAAACCTATAAAATATGTTATTGTGAGTAGTATATAATACTACTAAATATCTGGAAAAGTTAAAATATGTAATTTTCATAGAACTAACTGTTAAGCATAATCAAATCCATTTCATATATGTTAATTATCAGAAAGTTTTGTATAAATTACCAATCATAGTAAAAGTTTAAAGAAGTACATTACACAAATATATTCTGGACCAATCTATATCAAAACAGTATGCTAGATCCTGCAAATTTATCAACTATTATTTGGAAGAATGTACCAAAGTATAGAACTAAGAACTTAAAGAAGACATTATTTGTCATTGACATTAAATCCATTCTATCAAATATGGTCTAAATTCAGATGATGAAATGGAATCATGTTGGAAAGCTGGAGTATTCCAGAAGAAAACATTTATCAAAACATGTTGAGGGGAATGTGATAATAGATGCCTTTAAGGAAGAAAAGTAGACCATGTAAGTGCAGAGGGAAGCAGAATCATGATGAAAAACAAACTCTTGCTTCAGAGTATAGTAAGAAGAGCAGACATTGTCAATAAAGGAGATTGTCATCCTTGCACAGGGGCCTTGCTAATCTTCTCTGTATTGTTCCAACATTACATTTCCTAATAAAGTCATAGACTATAAAATTCTGAGATAATTAATGTTAAGATAAAAATTTTATAAAAAGGAAATAGTATCTTATCTGAAGGCAAGGGTGAGCCTTTTGAAGATTTAGTTAGGGATTAACAAAGAAAGGCTTTTATTTTGATGACATCAATCTAATTGCAGAGTAAGGAACATATTGGAGAGTATAATTAGAGGAGTTGAGACGCTGATAGAGCAAATAATAACACAGATTTAATAAAATGATAATGATGACTAACTAGAACATTAGCAGCAGAAACAGACCAATGCTGGTGAAGTCCAGAAATGCTACAAAGGTAGAATCACATGGTCTTGAACACTGTGACCTAAGAAAAGTTAAACTCAGAAGCACCAGGTAGAGAAACAAGATGGCAAAGAAAAAAAGAGATGTCCAAATACACATACTTGATTTGAGGTATGCCTCATTGATTTTCTAATACAAGCTTTCAGAAATCAATTGTTAATACATATGTGAGTATAGGAGATAAAACTAGGCTGGAATTATGAACCTGATCATATTAATTACAATTTTATTTCCAAGTGTATATAAAGTTGATGGAGGGTTAAGTTGAAAAAACTTGAGTTTAAATCATAAAAAGGAAGCACATAAAAAGATATAAAGCAGTATATAAGAAGAAAATAATAATGAATATAGAGCAGGAGGAAAGAAGAAGATAATTTTCAAATACTAATATTGTGACAGGTGGCAGAAAGTTGAGGAACTTACGTTAGGGGATATTCTATTTATGAAACAGAAAAAGATTCGGGGTGATGGTCATTCTGTATTTAAAAAAAGGACAATGGACAAGAGTGTGTTGAAATAAACAATGAGGAAAACATAAGAATGTTAAAGAAAAATCAAAGAACCACTAGGTAATTTTGAAACACTTTATGGCTGTAAACGCCAAATTTACAGTAGTATCAACCTGCCTGCACAGGTGTATTATTTTCCCAGTAGCATAGATAAAAAAAAACAATAAAAATAAGTTGCAAATGGGTTCAAACACAAACAGTTACCAATTTAATTCCACATGCAAATGCTAGGAAACAAATTACATTTGCATTGAAGCAAAATTAGGTCTGTGTGACATTTTTAGCCTGGCTGCAGATGTGAGCTTGCATTACTGCAGGGCTAATCCTGTGCTTCTCAGAATTCTCTAGGTCCCTAATTATTGTGCATTTATGTCTTTAAAGAGAAAGTGACTTAATGCATTACATTTATGCCTCATGGAAATTTAAATAAATGTAAATAGCAACAAAAAACAACAACAAAAAAGAACCCTTCTACATAAGGTCAGTTTGCATTCATACATACTGAATGCAAAATGCTTTGCATTTCAGTAAGAACAAGAATAATATAAACATCTCACATGAATAAATTTGAATAAGTGCTATAATTTGGACTCTAAAGGTAAGTATAATGGTGAATGACATGGTTTGTTATTTATAAATAATACTCTTCAACCCTGCATAAAGTAGCAAACCAAATGACATTCTGCTCTCTTCCAAACTTACAGACGCATTCATTGTGTGGTTGAGAGTTGAAATGAAAAAGCATTTTCATTCTATGTGATATTATCAGTATATCATATAAATTCTTGAGCCCAAAAGCCCAGAAACTGAGGAACTAAAATATAATGGAGCCATTTATACAGGGGTGAGAATTAACGATACTATATGTAATTTAGGTATAACTATGCTCAAGGCATGATATTACAAACTGTGTAAGTTTAAAATAAATTTGTATTATTCTGTACATCAGTGGTTATTTCAGTTTTCACCCTAATGTGTGTATAATCTTCAAAATAGTTTTTTTTTTAATTTATATAATATGTTATGTTTTAAAAACATCTAAAAATGTGAGAATTAGAAATGGAGGGTATAAAATTAACAGATTTATATTGTAAGTTCTAATACTATATGCATATGCTCTAGAAGAAGGACAACAGATTTTAAACAAAACACATTTTATTGAAATTATAGGAGGGAAATGAAAATGTGGGTTTTAAATGCCAGTACAGCTAGATATCAGCAGTATAGAGTAAAAATTCTAGCAAGAATTCTGGAAAAAGAAAAAAATAATAATAATAAAAATTGAAAGGAAAGCCGAGATGAGCAATGGACATGAGGTTATCAATATACTCAAGAGAATTCAGAGTATGAACATGTTTATTTATGTAGGCAGTACAGCATTGAATTAAGCTAAGGGTTTCTGATGAAAGATGGTAAACTAAAAACCTGGAGCAAAATAATTTTCAGAAGGTGGATGAAAAAAGATATTTCAAACTTACTTTGTATTTTGTTAGAAAAAACAAAAAGGGAAAAAAGTTTCCAAAATTTTTTTACCATGCTGATACTTGCACAGATTATAAAGTTAATTTACTAAATTCAATGATTATAATGCTGCTAACATCTGCAACTGAACTTAATCAGTATTCCCAAAGCTGATATATTTGTATAACATGTTAGGCTTTTAAGGGTTAAGGGACAGGAAAATTAAATGTAGAAAATTCTTTCAACAAAATGTCCTTGAAAGAAAAAAGAATATACAGAGAAGTTGACAAAATAGAATGGAAATCTCATTTAAGCCATCAATTTCTACAAAAACTTTTTGTTTAAACTCAAGTGTCTATATTGTGTAGCACATTCCTATAAATTATGGTACACTTTTGAATGCCCTTTTTAAGTATAAATAGTGTGCAAAAATGTATCTTTTTCAATTACCTGAAAATCATTTGATTTCTGACCCTTACATTTATGTATTCTTAAAATGAAAAGTCAGGAATAAAGTAAGTCTAGAGAACATGGGGCTCAGTGACATAAGAGGTAGATTGAGCCACAAGAAAATGTGAATCTCATGCTTGAGCTAAAGAATGTAATAGTACATCATGGGATTAGGTTCAGGGATGGGACAAGGTCCGAATGTTTGGTTATGCTCATTACTCAGCTGCTTATAAATAAATGTATGCTTTTATGATGTATTCATAACTTGCTTACACAGTTAGGGATTAAATTTATTCTGTATTATTTTAGAATAGTTTTCACTTTTAGTCCACATATTTAATGAGTAGGCCATAAAGTTATGAATAGCTATTTTAAAGAGGATCTATTAGAAATTGAGTTTACACATTATGAAATTAAAGAAGTTTACTCTAAGTAATCTAGTTTAGAAAATAGTTTGCATGTGTCTGTGTGTATGCACATACATACACACATGTATATATCTATTTATATGTATTTACATGTGTAACATTCACCACAATCTGAGTAATCATGAAATATTGGTATTATTATTTCTGCTCTCATTTTGTAGATGATGAAAATGAGAATTTAAACAAATAATCAAAGTTTCATTATTTATATCTTTCAAGTATATCTGCCCTATTTCTTGACAAATTATATGTTTTCCTAGAGGTATTTTAGTTCAATGAAGACAAGTTACAATTAAACAAAATATGTAAATTATGGTTAATATGATTCAATCACTATTTTTCTGTGACCAAACTGGTAAAGGAAATGGAAAGGAAAATGAACATGGTGTAATTAAATAACAAATTGAATATTATTAATTCACTGATTATAGAGTAAAAATGTGTCCTTATTTCAAGGACTATAATTTTAATTATTATTATGCATATTATATTTTTTATCTTGTGGTTAAATTTTGTCAAAACATAAAATTTTATATTCATCATGGTGAAAAGTTACCAAGATTATTGTAAATAAATCAGATTACACTCCAAGGAATCGGAATTTGTTTTGTAATACTATAAGTTGTTTCTTTAAAAAAAAAAACTCAGCACATTTGCAACTAAATAGAGGGTAAAGAGAGTATTATCAAATAGAAAATGATGGTATAACAGTATCACACCTTAATCAACATGATTATTTGATTTCAGGAAACAGATCTGTTTTTATAAAAGTTTGTATAAATTGTACCTTATTATATATTTATACTTCTTTCCCACCCATATTAATTTAGAGTATGATCCTTAATTCTTTTCTGATATTAATCAATGTTTTCTATTACTTATATCTATTAATTTCCATAGAAATTGTTCTCTGTTAAAATAATGACCTTTGTTGAAATTTACATGACTCTACTACAAGAAAAGTCTAAATCTATATGGGAATCAAAGTCAAAAATATAGTGAGAGCTAAAACAAGTTTTCTAATTTCTGGGCATATTTATGTTTTTTTTTAAAATTCATTCTTTGGAAATAGTAAATATCATAGATATGGTAGAATTTTCTATATGTTTTAGCATCTTCCAGAGATGCAATTATCTCTCATTGAGACTCTGAATAAATGATTTTAACTCTTATGAAATCTGACAGAGATCTGCATTCTTTGAAGATCTGAATGTCAGGAAAAGTAAGGAAAGAGTAGCTACAGAAGATAATGTCAATGGCTTGAACAGGAATGAAGATGGCCCTTTATATCATTTGAAATCTTAACTGGAATCTAGTATTAAAAAAAATTCTACTTGCAATATTCTCACATTACCTGTTAATATAAAGATTGTAAATTATTGATTTGAAAGCCAAAACTATACTACAGAATTTATAATCTTGAGCCCATTTAGGAAAAATTGTTCTATTTGCATTGCAATTTATGTAAAAAGAAAATGAATGTTATGGAAACAAAAATTAAGATGATTCATTATTCTTAATTCTTTTTTAAAAAGTTAAAGGGTAAAGTTTGATCAAGAAAAAGGAAAATTTGGAAACACAACAAAGCTATGCAGGAAAAACTACAGTTTTTTATCATTGTCAGAATGAAAAGGAATAAATTAAATGACATAGACACAATGAACATGACAAAACAACACAGAGAATTGAATATGAATGATCCTAATATATCCAAAACAAAGGGCCATCAATTAAAGTGACAAAGTAAAAAATATATGATTACCTTGAAAATTTAAGGATTAATATTATTATTAAAGCTCACTTTCTTGTTACTAAAGGTAAATATTATTTTAAATCTTAAA